TGGTGTGCAGCATTTCTTCCTGAGTTTGCTGGAGGTTGGAAGACACGAAGGATCTTGGTTGTGCCAGAATAGCAGGCAGGGTTCAGTGTCATTGGTGACACCGAATGCTGTCACTGGATATGGTTTCTTTTCAGAAACTTTGTCTTCCTTTGAGTTAGGTCTCCTTACAAAGAATCGTGATACAAGGCAGAAATTTAGAGTTGATGATTATGTTTGTGATGTAAACTTCTGTATTTCGATTCTCATGGCAGAGTTATAATGAAAATCAATATGGACTTTTCCTATTTTTATTGGTATTTTTTAATTTTTTTGATTTTGTTTTTTTTGTCTTCCTTTGTAGTGAAATGAAATGTATTTAGAGTGAACAGTGTGATCATATTCATGAAAGTGGGAATGCATACTTCTTTTTTATTTTTATTTGTATTTTTTTTTTTAATAGGAATGCTTTTACCATACTGAGCAATATACATTGTTGAGACCTCCAAGATTGCTTTTAAAGATGTCATTTTGCTCCTTCTTCTCTCCTCTGCCTCGTTTGGGTCTGTAATCCTTTTCTGTCCATTTTGCACTTGAAACTTTCATGACTAATGCTTTTGCTTGCAAGAGTAGCCCATGTATATATATATCTTAAGGGCAGATATCAAGAGGATGGGGCCAGGCTCTTTTCAGTGATGCTCAGCAATAGAACAAGGGAACAAACTGAACCATAGGAAGTTCCATCTGAATATGAGAAATGACTTCTTTACTTGGAGGGTGACAGAGCTCTGGAACAGGCTGCTGAGAGAAGCTGTGGTGTTTCCTTCTCTGATGACATTGAAAACCCAGCGGGATGCTTTCCTTTGCAACTTACTCCAGGGAACCTGCTTTAGCAGGGGGTGGAGTAACTTGATCTCCAGAGGTCTCTTCCGAACCCAACAATTCTGTGATTCTGTTTAATTGTATGAAATTTTCTTAGCATGTGCAGTTGCAGAAAGCGCTGTTAGCTTCTGTGTCTGCTGGTGTTGTGATGTTGATGCCTTTTCATGGAGGAAAATATTGACTGCGCTCTCAAATCAGTGTAGTTGTGGACTTGTTTCCTCTATGCTGGAAGAAATGGTTTGAGGTCTGCAGTTCGGTTTTGGTGTTCTTTTAACACTGTTATCAGCAACAGCCGCAGACTTAGAAAATCCCAGGAACTCTTTCATCCAAGAAAACGTCAAATGCTTCCATAACAGTTACTCTATCAATAACAGCTTTGCTTGACACTGCCTGTGCTATTCCCTCATAGAATGAAATCAGTTCTTATTGCCTTTCGAGGTGTCATGACATCAGTGTTAGAAATAATGTTGCTTACAGACCTGTAACATTTCCATCTGAGATGACTGAAGCACTGCAAAAGAGGAATGGTCAGCGGCAGAGATTCTGCTGCATTCTGCATGTATACAACAGTCTCCCTTTATTTCTGTTAATGGTGCTGTCATTGATAGGAAAGTTGTCCAAAATGCAGTCAACCTCTGGATGAGAATTGCAAGTGTGGTTGGTACCTTTGAGGAGTGAACCTAGCAATGGCAGCGAGTAAGGTCTGCTCTTTGCTGATGTGATGGGTGATCCTAATCGGTGGGAAAACTTGTGTGAGGGAGAGGACATCATTTGGAAGAGGATGGGACATGTCATAAGAATGAGAGATCTCTTCTTGTCTTGAGACAAGTGTCCCAGAATGTGGAGTTAACAATACCAGAGGTGGAATGGGACCAGAGCATTCTGGCCAGGATCATTTCCCAGAGATGGCAGCTAGTGGTTTTCCTGCTCTTGAGCTTGTATGTGGTACTGGTCTTTGTGAGCGTGAGAGGCTGTATGTTATTCATGGTGCCACGTGATGGATTTGATTTGTTTGCATGGAGGCTCTCTTTGTTTTTTTTTTTCCCCTGGAGGAATCATTGATGCACATAGAGGAAGACCTGGTATGCTCAGACAAGCCAAATAATTGCTTATTTATAGCTGAGACTTGGAGAGGTCTTCAAAGAAGCCCTTGTTGATGGTACAGCCGTTGTATGAGGTGTGATGAGCTTTCCCACATCCACATGTAGTCAAATTCTGTGTGCCTTCACTTCCTGTTGCTGTTGTGCCATTCCTGGTTGTGAAGACCTCTGCAATCTGTGCATTTATTCACTTGGGTTCAACTGTGAAATGTTGTTGCCCAAACAGTGGCTTTTCACAATGTTAGTATTTCTGCTTGGCTGTAGTGGACCTCCCCATGATTTTCCCTCTCCTCACATTATTGCTTGGGAGGGGAAAAAGTGTGCTCTGTACTCCAGATGTTGGCAAGCCTTGTGTTTCAGTGATGTGCAATTGGATCTTCTTGTTTCTTTCTCTCTGTCAGAAAAGTGTCCCACTTTGTTGTTTTCCTTCTCTCACACTGGAAATACATTGGTAACTGTGGAGTGGATGTAGGGTGCTGAGCTCTGGTTTCTGTGACATTGCAGATCTTAGGGCAGTTGGCCATGAGTGTGCAATGCAGCTTTTCCACTCTGGTGGGCTCTGGTACTCATGGAGAGAAAGTCATTAGCTTTCAGGTCTCTCTCTTGCTTCCCTTCTGGTATATGTGTGCCAGGGAGCTCTGCACCCCTATCCAATAACAGTGTTCTTTTTGTGAACAAGCATTTTCTTCTACTGTGGGTAAGTCGTTCATATTAAAGAATATGTGATCAATAGACTGCTGTTGTGCTTCCTTTGTGTTGGAGTGTCGAATATTGCCTGAGGGCTGGAGCTTTCTGTTGATGAAGTGCATTTGAATGGGTAGAGCAGTTTCTTCCGCAGTCAAAGGTCCCTCCCTGGGTTGTGTGTCAGCCTGGAGTTGGAAATAGAGGTGATTATTTTTCAGGAGATAATATTTGGTGGGTATAATCGTTGCGTACTGAGTTTTCCTCACTTTGTGCACTTGCCGAATTGGCTTTGGTCTGATGGTGTGCTATCTTGTGTCAGGGCTCATTCTAAAATATGGATGTATACACAAAATCCTGAATAGCAGCCCAGGTCACTTTCTCTGCAGAAAAAAAAAGAAGAAAAGTTCCTTACAGCCGCAGGAACGTGTTTGTATTTTTCATTTTTTATTTCTTGGAGGACTCTCCAGTGTTGGAGGCAGTAAACTGACGTGTTTGGCAATAGATAATCCAACAACTTGGTGCTTTTCACAGGATTTTCTCAGCTTCTTCCTGTGAACTTGATGATTTCTCAGTATAGCTGTAGGTAAAAGACAAGTTCTTTGTGCATTTGTGATGAGTGTGCAGTGCTACGATTCTTGAGGATTTGCTTTACCCTCAGTAGAAGAATAAAATCCCACATTGGCTTGATATGAGTTGGAAGAGAACTCTCCCAAGATGTGGGTTGTCTTGAATCACACAAATGTTTATGCAATCTTAATTTTGACCTCAGCCCAACTCGAAGTTACCTGAAAATAAAACAGTACTCATTTTGCTGCCTATAGCATGTGTGTGTTCTCATCCCTCTGGGTAGGGCATGAATGAGAAGGTGATCTGCTTATACTTTGTGGATGGATGATCTTAGCAAGTGGGTAAGTAGAAGGAAAATACCTTTACACTCTTTGAACACCTTTCATTCTGGATTCACATGGAATAAGTTTGGTGTTTTTTTTTTTTTTTTTTTTAATATAAAGTCTATCCCAGAAATTTCTTTCTACACAGTGGTCAAGACATTGGTCTCTATCCAGGCTGTTCTGTCTGTTGTCTACGTGGAGCTGCAACAAAATGTGTCTTGCAGAACACTAATCTAGCATTCCTCTATTTGCTCACAGTCTGCCTGCATCTGGACAAATCAACAAAATGCTTTTACACAGGGCAGGATTCATTTTTGTCTCCATCTGTCAGGGTGGGGTAATACTGATGTGAGATCACAGGAGATACATAGGCGCCAAAAACGGGAATGTGGAACAAAACCAGTTCTGTTATATTCTGAACGTGTTGGGAACGTGATGAGTCTCCATCTCTGGATGATGCAGTGTCTGCTGGAAATTGCTGCTTACCTTTCTCATGAGCTTGTCTGCTCAGGAGCATCACAGAAGGAAAGGACCACACTTCATCTTCGGAGGCTGAACCTCTACTCTGCCCTGCATGCAGGAATCTGGGATAGGAAACGTGCTCTGTCTGAATGCTTCCTCGAAGCAATGAGCATGCCATTGGTTGGGGTAAAGAAATGCAGATGACATACAGAACTGCATGATTAAGGAGAGTATGTCTTTCTGATTAGATTAGTACAGTGTGAACTCATCAGAACTTTAACACAAATAAGCTGTGAGGAAAAGTCACTGGTCATGAGTGTAAGCAGGGGAACAGTTTCTTTTCTCCTTCCACTCAACCCATATAAGACTTACCTGAACAGCCTGTGAACCTCAGCTTTCCAGTGTTAAGGTTAAAAATTACATTCATATTAGATATCTTTTGCTCTAAGAGATGTATAGCAGACCACAACAATGGAGCATGTTATCAGAAACACTTCAGATAAAGCACCTGGGTTCCAACAGAGGAGAACTGTTCACAGTCATCGTGGAAGCTGTATCACTAAGCAGAATTACCTTCATGCCCATTTCGTTTTGAAAGGAAGGATGAAACGTTACTCAGAGTCTCATTGTAGCTAAAAAGACAAGTGCTTTTGGGAACTGGTACAGCGCTGCAGGTACAGATTCGGAAAAACAAAGAAGAAAAAGAAAAAAGAAACAACTGAAAGAGAAATGAAATGGAAGAAATGAAAAATAGTAAAGATGAAGCGAATCCGGTACGAGAAACGATTCTCCCCGCGAGCCACATGATGGCGCTGTGAGCTAAGGAACGTGCGGTGCGATGCGATGCGATGCGATGCGAGGAAGGGAGGGGAAGACCTTCCGGTGCCCATGGCAAAGAAGGCAGAGCGAGAGCGAGCGGCGGGGAGGAGGAGGCGCGTCCCGTGAGGAAGGATTGTGTCGGCGAGCGCGGGCGGAGGGTTTGGAGCAGGCGGGTCGGGAGGTGCGCGGCGCGGAGAAGGAGCGGTGCGGCGGCGTGGAGGGCGATGGTCGGCGGTGGAGCGGCGCGGCGGAGCTGGGGGGCCGCGGTGCTGGTGCTGCAGGCGGCCTGGGCGCTGGGCGGCGGTCCGGTGCGCTACTCGGTGCCGGAGGAAGCCGAGGCCGGCACGGTGGTGGGGCGCCTGGCGCAGGACGTGGGCCTGGAGGCGGGCGAGGCGGAGGCGCGGCGCCTGCGGCTGGTGTCGCGGGGCTTGGGGGCGAGCGTGGAGGTGAGCGGGGCGAGCGGGGCGCTGGTGGTGAGCTCGCGGCTGGACCGGGAGGAGCTGTGCGGGAAGAGCGCGCCGTGCGCCCTGCGCCTGGAGGTGCTGCTGGAGCGGCCGCTGCGCGTCTTCCACGTGGAGGTGGAGGTCACCGACATCAACGACAATGCCCCGCGCTTCCCCGCCGCCTCCAAAAACATCAGCATCGCGGAATCTTCTCTGCCCGGGTCGCGTTTCCCGCTGGAGGGCGCGTCGGATGCGGATATCGGATCGAACGCGCAGCTCTCGTACACACTGAGTCCTTCTGAGCACTTCGCCCTGGAATTACAAAGAGCAAATGACCGGAATATTATTCCTGATCTTGTATTGAAGAGCCCGCTGGACCGCGAGTCGCAGTCGGAGCACCGCTTGGTGCTGACGGCGAGTGACGGGGGCAGGCCGGCGCTGACGGGCACGGTGCAGCTGCTGATCTCGGTGCTGGATGCGAACGACAACGCGCCGCAGTTCAACCAGTCGGTGTATAAAGTGCAGCTGCCGGAGGACGCGGCGGAGGGGACGCTGGTGGCGCGGGTGGCAGCCAAGGACCCGGACGAGGGAATTAATAGCGAAGTGACTTACGGTGCCACCAACATTATTCCACTCAGTGGGAAAAATTTGTTTTCTATCCATCCAGAGACGGGGGAAATCAGACTCACAGGTGCCTTAGATTTTGAAGAAGTCAGTGTGTTTGACTTTCGCATTGAGGCGAGAGATAAGGGGACACCTCCGTTATCGGGCCACTGCGGCGTGGAGCTGGAGGTGCTGGATGTGAACGACAACGCGCCCGAGGTGTGGGTGACGTCGCTGTCGGTGCCGGTGCCCGAGGACGCGTCGCTGGGGACGGTGGTGGCGCTGCTGAGCGTGTCGGACCGGGACTCGGGTCCGAACGGGCGGGTGCGGTGCGCGGTGGTGCCGGCGTCGCCGTTCGGGCTGGTGGCGACGTTCGCGGGCTCGTACTCGCTGGTGCTGCGGGAGGCGCTGGACCGGGAGCGGGTGTCGGAGTACGAGGTGGAGGTGCGGGCGGAGGACGGCGGGGCGCCGCCGCTGCGCGCCAGGCGCGGGCTGCGGGTGCCGGTGTCGGACGTGAACGACAACGCGCCGGCGTTCGCGCAGGCCGTGTACACGGTGCTGGCGCGGGAGAACAACGCGGCGGGCGCGGAGCTGGCGCGGCTGTGGGCGCGGGACCCGGACGAGGCGGGCAACGGGCGCGTGAGCTACTCGGTGTGGGAGGGCGGCGCGGGGATGGGCGCGGGCTCGGGCTCGGGCTCGGGCTCGGGCTCGGGCTCGGGGTGGCGTCCGGCGTCGAGCTACGTGTCGGTGGAGGCGGAGAGCGGGCGGCTGCGGGCGCTGCGTCCGCTGGACTACGAGGAGCTGCAGGTGCTGCAGTTCGAGGTGCGGGCGGTGGACGCGGGGGAGCCGCCGCTGTGCGGCAACGCCACGGTGCAGCTGTTCGTGGTGGACGAGAACGACAACGCGCCGGCGCTGCTGCCGCTGGCGGGCGGCGGGCCGGGGCCCTGGGCTGCGGGCGAGGCGGCGGAGCCGGCGTGGCGGGCGGCGGGCTCGGCGGGCTCGGCGGGTTCTCCGGGCTCGGCGTCGTCGTCGTGGTCGCTGTGGGCGCGGGCGGCGCTGGGTGCTCCGGCGGGGCAGGTGGTGGCGAAGATCCGCGCGGTGGACGCGGACTCGGGCTACAACGCGTGGCTGCGCTACGAGCTGCGGGAGCCGCGGGGCGAGGGCCCGTTCCGCGTGGGGCTGTACAGCGGCGAGGTGAGCACGGCGCGGGCGCTGGAGGAGGCGGACGGCCCGCGGCAGAGGCTGCTGATCGTGGTGCGGGACCACGGGGAGCCGCCGCGCTCGGCCACGGCCACGCTGAGCGTGTCGCTGGTGGAGGGCGCCGAGGCGGCGCTGGCGGCGGCGGGGGCGGGGGCGGTGTCGGCGGGGGCGGGGCCGCGGGCGGCGGCGGGCGCGGAGGGCGGCTCTGCGGCGGCGGCGGCGGCGGCGACGAACGTGTGGCTGGTGGCGGCCATCTGCGCGGTGTCGAGCGTGTTGGTGCTGGCGGCGGTGCTGTACGGGGCCGGGCGCTGGGCGCCGCGGGCGGCCGTGCCGGCGGGGCCCGGGCCGGCGACGCTGGTGTGCGCCAGCGAGGTGGGCAGCTGGTCGTACTCGCAGCGCCAGAGCCGGAGCCTGTGCGTGGCCGCGGCCGGGGACGGCGCGGGCAAGAGCGACCTGATGGTGTTCAGCCCCAACTGCCCGCCGCCGCCCGGCCCCGCGCCGAAGGAGACGCCGCACGAGCCGCCCTCTCTGCTCGACACGGTCAGTGCCTCTCGCGGTCCCTTCGAATTGTGCTTCCTGCTGTCTTCCTATCCTTCTTTTTTTGCTGTCTTCTTGTTGTCCCCTCTTTCCTTTTCTCTGCTTCCTTTCTTCCCTTCTATTTTCCACTTGGCAAATTGGAGTTTTCACTGCTGTGTTCTACTGCTGTGGAACTCTGTCAGTACCTGCTGGTGGCTTGCGTTCTCTGATTTGATATTCTTGCAGGGGTGTTGTATCTGGAATTTTCTCTCCATATGTGATTTTGTTGGAGTTCATTGTTTTCTTTCTGGAACGGTGGTGTCTTGTTCATTCTCACCGATTGTTTTTACTCTAACCGAGGTTAGACAAGCACTAATGGACACTATTCCACTTACATCCATTATTTGCTGTTCAATTTATGGATGTACTCTGGCAATTGTGTGAAGGTGTTTGTTTTAGTTTTGCATCTGCCATTTTGTCCATCCCAGATGTCCTTGATTGTTGATCTGGAACTTCTTTCTGAAGCTTGCTGTTTAGTATTGGAATTTTCCTTTGATGGGAGAAAGTCATTTGCATAGAGCTGCTGTGTCACAAGGCTTCTGCCAAGACTGATCCTAATAATGAACAGCATTGAAGGATCGTTCAACATGAAGGGTCATTGTGATAGTTGTGGTCAGCGGGGCACTTTCCTCTTCTTGTAATAATGTGGAGTGTGACTGTGCTGGTAGCAGGTCTGTTTCTTTCCTTCATTCTCCTTTGCAAGAGACACATTTCAGTGTATCGATGGTTTGTTGAGCATTGTGCCTGAGTGTGGTGAGTCTCCATCTGCATCGGATCGTCAGTCAGAGTTGTGATAGTAGGGAAGTCAGAAAGTGATTGTGGACTTTTCCTGTATCCTTTCCAAAGCTGTGGACTCTCTTTATAAAGTCATGCAAACGCCTCTGTTGTTTTGTTTGAAAGGGGAGTGCAGGGCCGTTGCTGAGTGTGCTGGTGACCTCAGAGTGCTGACAGTGATTTCCCTTTGGTGTGTCTCTCGTGCATCAAGTGAATGATGCAAAGCCGTGAATTTTTGTTTGGAATGTTGGGAGCAGGGATGGCTCCGGGTACTTCTGTAACACTTTTCTCTAGAGGGAGCACTCAAGATGTTTTCAATGAAAATGCTTTGCTTTTTGCTTAGTTTATTATTTTTGTCATGATTTATTGGTGGGACAAGTTTTGGGGTGTAACCTGTTTTGACTTCTGATTGCCATTTGTGGTTCTCAGAGGGGGGTTCTGGAGCTGTTAGTGCACAGGTCTGTGTTTATTGGAGTTCTTCTCCTACAGCTGGACACGAGGCTTCCATTGCTTGTGACGTTCTGTCCCAGACAGACATCAGTGCCTCTTTTGAGTTGCCACGTCGCATTGTTAACTCTACAAATCCTGTAGTTGATGGTGTGCTGCATTTCCAGGTGGGCTGCTGAATGTCTGGAATTTGCAAAGGCTTGGTCTTGAGGCAGCAGTCCAGCATGTAGTATTCACCATCATTGGTCGTGATTGCTATATTATCAACTATGGTTTCTTTTCAGAAATTCTGTCCTCTTCTTTCTTTGTTCTTTGATGGAGATGTGATGCAAGGTGACAGTTGTGGCTGGAGATTTTTCTGATTGTAGACTTGTGTTTTGGCAGGATGTATTGAACTTCTATTGATGTTCTTTTAGTATTTGCATCCGTAGCTGTACCTTCACAAAGCACCCGTGCCATTTTTAAAACCAAAAGTGAAAAGGGCATCCTTGGAAACCCACCTATAAAGTTCAGATGACACATAAAGATGTCTTACTCGTTAATATTAGAAATTCCTTTGCTTTGCTGTGTGTGGTGACTCCATCTGAATTTGCAGAAGCATTGCAAAACATTGAGGGTTGTCCACAGAAGGTCAGCCAGGCTCTGTGTATGTGACGCTGTTTGTTTGGTGTGGTTGGACTTCTTTCTCTGATTGGTGGGATGGTTCAGGGAAGGGCAGCGTCAACGCAGGATCGGGAAGGGGAGTAGAAGCTGGAACAGAGGCTGCTTGTCCTCTGTATCCATTGTTCAGAGTGGAGTTTGGAGGTTAGCAGGGGCCGTGAGAGATGGGAGGCCTTCCAGATCTGGCGGCCGTTGATTGTGTTGACGTGACTGCACGACACTGTCTTTGGATGTTCTGAATATGTGTCTCTCTCTGTAGTCATGAATCCCTTTGGCTCCTCTTACAGCTTTCTTTAGCCGTATGTAGTCAATTGTGTCATGTCTGAGTAATGGATGAGTGAGATCCCAGGACATTCTATGATGTCCTGTGTGTTTTGGCCCTTCTGCGTGAGGCTGAATGTGAGTGAGGTGAGACTGCTGAGGGGCTCATCCTTTCAAGGTGTGATGATGTCCAAAGAAGAGAATTCAACACCTTCCCTGTCCTGCGGTTCCATAGCTTCCACGTTGATATTTCAATTTCTGTATCCTCTTGGTTTTCCTTCCTGGACTCATTCTGCACTGTAGTCTTGTTTTGGAAGCGATGTACAGTCTGGCCTTTCAATTTTCTCTTTCCAAGCATGAGCACTTGCTGCTCAGGTGGAAGGAGTCACAAAGATGGAGCATCAGGAAATGAAGTCCATTTTTTTCTTCCATATTTTAAGATGCTGTTTTCTTGTTGGCGGCCACAGCCGTGAAGCTGTGTTCACTCCCCACATCTCTGCTTTGGGCAAATCATGCTGGTGTCTACCGAGTTTGTGTCATCAGAAACAGAGTTCTCCTTTTTGCTGATCCTTCACAGAAATAGTCCTGATATGTGGTTTTCATTGCCATGTGAGTGGTTCTTTTTTCACTCTTATCACTTTAATACCACAAGGAGTTTCTGGAGAGGATGGCGTAGCACAACCATATTGTGTGTTCTATTTCCAGGTACGATATTAGCAATTTGAAATGGAGACTTATGGAATAACAAACAAAGGTAGAACAAGTACTGAAAGAACAGTTTTTCCATGCTAGGCAAATGCTTGTTAAAGCAGGAAACTGTAGAGGATGTTGCAGTGTTGTTTCAATGTATGCTGTGGTGCCAGGCTTTCTTGTCTCCCATGAGTGCAGATAAAAAGAATGTGATTATTTCTGTGTGCCTTAAAAGATGTTGTTGCAAAGGGTTGAGCAATTCCTCCCACCAAATGCTGTCTTCCGCTTTGGCATCTGCCTGATGTAGGAAATGTGTTTGGAAATGGGATGTGAGATGCAGAATGCTGCCTACTTTTAGACGAAGGTTTCCCTCAAGTACTGGGAAAGTTACTCACAGCCGTGCCAGTACTAACGCTACAATCTGTATGAAGTCAGATGTAATTCTGCTTATAGTTTCCACATGAAGTTGCTTAGTAGGTGCAGAACATTCAGAGAGCAGTTGCTGCTGCTGTGAAGAGGCTGTCAGACTGTGTGTGTTTCTGCAGCTCCCCATCTGTTTGTGCTGTGAGTGATGAGGGAAG